TTAGGTTGTGGTTTAACATTTACTGAAGGAGGTGATGTCTTAATTTGTTCTCTTGAGACGCATGCTCCATCCATATTATCTTCACTTGTTTTATTACAATTCCTTCTTTCTGTTTCTAATTTTGTTCTGTCATCTCCAGGAGTTTTTTCTTTACTAACTACTTCAGCAGCAGATGAATCGTCTTTTTGTTTCTTGTCAATGCCTGAATTCTCAACTGTCAAGTACTTGGTAACTTTCTTCAAGACTTTCTTCTGAGACTTTGATATTTTAAACTCCAAAGCCTTGTGACGTATGGTATATGATGGACAGCACATTGTATCCATTGTTGGTTTATATACATACTTTCCACTTCTGTTAAATAATATACAATTTAATTTTTATATTACAACAAAATTTGGTCATTTGCAGTTCATACAAAAAGACTTTAAATGTAAAAAAAATGCAATTATTATAAGTATAGCACAGTGCAACAGAGCTATAGCCATGCAGTCACCTATCTGTCATTCTCGGTATGCACTTTACATTTCATTTGACATGTCAAATTTTTACAAACCGGTTAACTTGTAATTGAAAATTTCCAGTTTTTACAAAATAGCAATAAATATAAAAAATAGACTACAAGTCTGTGGCTACAGACCAGCAATTATTATCTACCATTTTTATATACTTTTGTTCTGGTTATAACTCTTGAGTACAAACATTTGAAAAAAATACTTCAGAAAGCAAAGTTATGAGCACCGAGTACAGCTATACATGTAATAATAATTAATAATGATAATAACTTTAGAACATTTGATCATGCCAGTTAGTGTAACATTATTTAAGCCAACTTTATAGTGACACTATATTCTGCTGAATCACTTTGAGGTGAGGCATAACTCTTTATTGTACGACTATTATAAAAAGCTCAACTTTTGCGTTAATTAACTTTCTCTTTTCAATATAAAAGTAGTTGCATTATCATACGCCAAATGATTTTAAGAGCAGCTGAGAGCACTCAATATGACCACTCAATTTGCTCTCTGGCTCCCTCTAGTGGTGAAAATATTCAATACCTTCTACATCCTCTATCTATAAGATCTTCATAGTCTTCACATGTTAAACTATGTGCCCACATACCTATAACAAAGACATAATTAGGTGTTTAATTCAATTCCATTACGACTTAGATGTTATTGATTGTTATTTTCTGTATATGAATACTGTTAAGGCATTAATTATTCGCTGGTTTTAAATTTCACGATTTTCGCTGATAAGTAAAATCCGCGAAATTAAATCAATGTCAACATGTAAAATAACAACAGAAGTCATTGCTTTTCTGCCAAGTCCATGAACGTAGGGCCCAGTTAAATTGCTCAAAGCATCAAAATAGTGAAATTAAACACCCATGAGATTAAATGGTTTCACAGTAGTATCTTTAGCAGATTTGAAGAAATGTTCACTTGCTTTTAATTAGCACATATAGCTATAGCGAAATAAGCGAAGAATTAAGCTTTATACATTGTACATTACCTAGAAGCACAAATACAATACAATACGTTAATTGGTATCACAAACAAAACCTTACATTTAGTTTGAACAGTGGTGCCACATTTTTTTGGAGGGTTATTATACATAAACCCAAACCCGGTATGGGAAAGGGTATTTGAAGTATGTGATACTTTTTCCAACATCCATTTGCAGTAAAGTCTCAAAAGCATTGGGGCAGCAATTTAGCTGGCAAACCACTTCATAAATTGGCACAACTCATGTTTTCAAACTTATTGGCAGCACCGAGTGGTCTCGCCCACTCTAGATAGAAATGCTTATGCATGAATAAGTCAACTATACAATCAAATCCAAAGTTAACAGCCAATTCATGAGTAAGTTTGCCAACTTGCTGCCCCAATATTATTGATTCTAATAACATTACATGACACCCATGGATAGTGGCACAATTTGTAGTTTGATACTGCAGGTGAACAGAGCTTGGTGAATAAAAATGAACTGAAAATGATGCAACAATGATAGCTGTATGAAGAATGTACATAAATGGCTTTACAAATGTACCTATCAGTCTATCGGTAATACTACAATTTTTTTTGTCAGTAACATTTAAATAAAATAATTATTAAATTATTAGTGTATGGTTGTTAGAAAGTACAGTGAATAACAAATAAATAAATAGGAATGCAGCAAGTATGTACTGTGGAATACTTTATTTTTACTGGCTTTTTGGGCGTTTTGTATGGAATTTATTTTCACTATTTTTTGATGAGTTTAATGTGAAATATAGGAAAAAAAGTATATTCGCTGGATTTTATTTTCACGGAATCATCCCTTCAGCGAAAATAAAGTATTCTACAGTATTTCATTCATTTCAAAAGCCTGTTGTACACTGCACTGAAAAACATACTAGTATTACAGAGTTAATTCTCTAGGCCAATATTTGAAGAAAAAAACTGTTTTGAATCTGAATATTTGTTTCTGTTTTTGCAACGTCCTGTTGTTGGATAAATGGTAATAAAGGTTACGTCTTAGCCAAGATCTGATTGCAGATTTTATATTTTTATTTCCTTGTTTTGTTTCAACCACAGGGACTGTGTTTTTTGTTTGTTTACGTCTTTGAGTACAATGTATCCATTATCATTCATTCCAACTGAAAAATAAACAATAAATATTTCCCCCGGCCACTATAGACTCAGACTGTCTATTTATAGTTCATTAGTTGTCAAAAAAGAGAAGTGTCACATGAAGATTCAGCCACAGTCCGACTGTGAACGGCCTTTCGGGCGATTCCACTCGGTTTTAAAGTTAATTTTTGTGAGATTTATAAGCAGACATAAAATGCAAACTACAACAGATTATTGTGCGAAAAATTACGTTTCTGTTATCTTACCACGTGAATAATTAGAATCTTTCGATCCACAGTAACCACACCGATGTCCATCATGTTCAGTAAAATATTCAACAACACTTGTCGCCATGTTAAATTTTACCCACAATTCCTTAGTCCCGGCTTTCCCCAAGATCGTAGATTGTTCAATGGTTTTTGACGAAGGAAGCACAAGCCTCAAAGGACAAGGTACGAATCTAATATTTACTTTCCGATTGATTCGTACCTTGCCCCGCACAGTACTCGTCGAAAAAGGAATAAAATTCGAATAAATTGTTGTTCTCGTATTCTTTTTTTAGCCATGTTATGCAAACTACCAACGGTCGATACAAATATATCCGCCGAATTCATATCAGTACAAATATTTCGCACACTGCTTCACTTCGTTGTGTCGTCACCGGAAGCGCTGTCCCAGCACAAACCTGTGTCATATGACGCCTTACGGTGTAGAAGACGCCGAACTGCAGCGTCAATGGCTTCACTTCGGATGTTGCGGGGAAAGTTAATGCATTTACCAAGTCGCGAGCCAGGGCGATAGATCTCGCGTGATTTGCTTCAGCTGCTCTAATATTGACCTGAGGGATGATATGTCGATAACGCTTGGTTATTTTGGGCAGCATATTTATCTCTCTCTTGTTTTGGTATGGTTAAATAATAGCGTATAATTTAATTCTTAATCTTCGTGTTGAAGTACACAGCTCGATATTTATAGGTTTTTGTTTATTTCAGATGTTTTGGGTATTGCGAGCATCTTCCGGTTTATTCGCTGTCGGTACTCTCGCTTTCTCTCGACGTCAATTTCTCATTTTGTGAATGGATGTCGGGATTTAAATCTCACTGTGACATCAATCAACATGGCTAACGACCAGTACACGTAGGCACCAGTATATATGCTATTAAAAATGTTTCAATCGCGGGTAGCTGAATAAAAGTACGTCTGTTATAATGGAGGATATTTTCACCCAGCTGGCGAAAGATGCCACGGGAAGCAAGCACAGACTCCTGAGGGAGGCGTGTACCATAGCCTGTGGTAAGTTGGACCTAAACGTAGTTTTCATTTTTCTCACGCTTAGGCAAATATAACATTTAATTTTATTGTATTAACACGTAATTAACAATTTGGAATATTTTGTTTTGACTTTTTAAATCTATTTTCACAATTTTATTTATTTTCTTTAAAAAAATTGTGTGTCGTATATTATTTTCTATGAATAGATCTTACATGTCAACTCTACGTGGTTATTTAAAGCTATGAATGTTTATCACAATGGCTTCATCTAGTTTGAATTTTAAATTCATGATTTTAATAGATAATCTGTCATAATTAATGAGTTTGCTTCTTTATTCTAAACAAAAACTCTTTCTTTACTTAATTAAAATGCTTTAATCGCTTTTTAATATCACTCTGTTGTTTTGATAGTTTCCAAAAATTGGCTTTAGACTGTTGACTTCTACTGAAACAATTAATGATGGACATTATTCAACACCACTGCTATCATATATGATAAAATATATGCACAAGTAAAAATTACATGATTCGTGTGAACTTTTTTGAATGTTAGTAAATGTGTTAATTGCGAACACAAAAAGATAGCAAACATTTCTTATATACATTTGTACATCATAATGTGATTTATGTCATTTTTAGTCCCCGTTCGGATGCAGTCCGAAAACGGGGACT